TTTTATTTCTTTAAAAAAAAAATGGAAGCAATTATATCAAAAGGTAAAGGTCAAGATTTGTTAAACATAGGTGGTGAATGCACAGGTCTTTTAAAAATTCTTCTCTGTTCTTTTCGGTGTAGTTAAAAAAATGAAATCTCTTTCCATCACATGCCAGTTCTGATTAGAGAGCAACCAGTTCTGATTAAAACAGGAAAACCTAGAGCGGAATCCACCAGCTTCTTCACTTTTACCTTCCACAGCAACAAGTACATAGCAGGTGCTAAACGCCTACTGAATTACCCACCACACACCTTAAAAAAAGCGAAACCAAAAAAACCCCCTGAAACCCTGTGGAGCACAGTGCTGGGGCAAAGCTTGCCAATGAACCTGGGGAAATATCGATCCCTCCAGCCCTCGGGATAAGGGGGCCTACAGCAGCGATTTTTCAACCCTTTCCACCTCCCCGCACACATAAACTAATTACTAAAATTCTGTGGCACACCAAAAAATTTATTTTTGCCCATCTGACAAAAAATATAGGTATAATTTTGATGTATTCACACCGCCGGCTCTTGTTGTGTTGGCTGCTGTCGTTTTTGTTGTTGTCGTTTTTTTTTTGTTTTACTTGACAAGCTGGGGGAAAAGAGGTCAGTGACCCCAAGTAGTCGGTAGCGCCCGTGCTGGAAATTCTCGACACACGAAGTTGAAGATCGCTGGCCTAGGGCAGAAGACCACCTCGGTCACCTTGGGCAACCGTGGCCTTGGTTTTCTACCGGGGCCACGAGAGCTGGAGCTGAACACTGTAGCCGCCCACTATCACGGGCGAAGCTGTTCCTCGCGTTTCCATCGATGTCCACACGCTGGCACGCGACGGCCGCCAATCAAAACAAGAAGCGAGCCAGGGAGTCAGGGCTCAGGCCGACCGCGGCCAAATCCCCGCTCCGCACGTACTTCCTGGGGGACCTTGGGCGGGCGTCCTCATCTCAGTGCAACTAAGTGCACCTGCAGAACGGGGCCGGGAAGAGTACACGTCGCAGTGCTGCTGGGAGGGAGGGCCAGCTAAAACTGAGGGGGAGGCTCCTCGCGTCACTCCAAAGCGCGACCACTAACAGGCCCCCGAACGGGGAGCAACTACTTGGCACATGAGGAGTTTGAGGCTCTGTCCCGGGAGACCGGCTGGGGAGCCTCGTGACTCCGGCCTACGGCGAACTCGCCTCCGAACTCGGCAACTTCAAAGACGCCCCGAACTTCCTGGCTTCCCCGCCCCCCGACCTCGGACCTCTCAGAGACCCCGGAAGAGCCGGGATTCGGGCTTCTCAGCCCCGACGGTGGAGGCCTCCCAGAGAGGCCGAATCCCCCCGGGCCGCGGGATTCCACTGGGGCGTCCCTAGACCCCGCGTCCAGGGACCAAGCCCGGAACGTTATCCCGCAGCCACAAGCGAAAAGTCTGGGGAGAAACAAGAACCCTCCTCACCTGAAGCAGGAAGGACGCGGACACGCTCACGAGCCCGCACCTCACCTCGGATTCCAACCGCCCTTCCCCAACAGCTCAAGCTGCCCGCCTAAATCGCGGGCGCGGCTTGCTCCTATTGGGCAGCAGTCCCGGCCACCAACCAATAACCTCTCTTCTTCTTCCTTTGGTCGCCTCTGGCTGAAAGAGCGGCGCTCTCATTGGCTGGCCCTTCGCAAACCGACTAGGCGGAATCGCGCGCGAGAAGGCCTTGTACAATTGGTTAAAAGCCGAAGTCCGTCACCTTGCGTTCAAACCCTAAACGGAAGAGCGGAGAAAGGGGTTTAGTCCTCTTTACTTGAACTTTCTGGCGGAGGGGAAGTTGTAAGAAGATTTCTCGGTACATTTTGAAAAGAAATGAAAATATTAAGCTCCTGCTGTTTCCCCCTGTCTTTATCCAAAGGCTGATAGCTAATCCAATCATTTGAAAATATTGCCCTCCGGAAACCAGCCTAAAAAGAGGCCTGGGACAATCCCGTTCGTATGTACCCTCTTGACCCAGGGAGAAGAGCGCATACGAAAGATTTCGCTTATACGATCTTTTCAAAGCCAAACCAGTGCAATAAATTGCCTGCTATTGACCTATCGCCACATCATTTAACAGCAAATATTTTTCAAGCATCGCTAAAATCTAAACCTTGGCAGAGACTGCACATTGCCAAAATTTTACTTATTAGTTGCCGATCCAAGTAATGGCTTTTCAATATTTTTCTTCTCCAAAACCAGCATTAGCATTTGTACTTTTGCCCCCTTTTCTTGCTATAGCTAGAGTTTTAGCATGGATAATCTGAGGAGAAAGGAATTTTCTGTTGTCGGCACATATGTAACAGAATAGAGTGTAAAACATTTTGAGTGATTATAAGTACTGTGTGTTCAACGCAAAATAATTAGAAAAAAACTTTTTAATTAGAAAATTATCTCTATCCAGTGAAGTCAACTTTAAAATCTTCATCTATCTAAATTGAGATATAGATGGGATCCTGTTTTTTTGTTTTTTAATATGTTTTTATTGATTTTTTTTTTTAGCGAGAGAGGAAGGGAGAGAGAGAAACATAAATGTAAGAGAAAAACATCCATTGGCTGCCTCCTGCACACTCCTCACTGGGGATCGAACCTGCAACCCCAGGCATGCCCTGATAGGGAATCGAACCCGGACCTCTCAGTCCACGGTTGGATGCTCAATCCACTGACCCACACCGGCTGGGCTGGTGTCCTTTTTTAATCTTAAAATAATATCTGATGGCTTTCCATGTTGATAGATACACACTTTGTCAAAAAAGGTGGTGGGTATATAGGTGTCCAGAGTATAATTTCATTGATTTTTCTGTGTATTTGAAATATTTCATAAGTAAACAGTTGTTGTAGCTCACTGTCCTTAGAATCCAACTTGTCTTTGAGCTGCCCTAATTAACAACCTCAGAGACAGCAAGATGAACAATGGGGAATGTTATAGACGGCTTTTGCCCCATAAAAATTAACCAGAGTTTGACCTTCACTGGGAATTTGAAAGGCAACATCCTTCAGGAAAAGGGAGGACAGAAACGGCCCCAAGGCCAGAGTGTCCTGCATGCTCTGTAAAGAAACTGATAGGGAGAAATTGAAGCTCCCTTTACCCCATAAAACTCTGTTAAACATGTGTGTATTGCACCTGACTGACCGCTGATATCCATCTCGAATTTGTTAGTTTTTAAAACTTGGATAATGGAATGAATAGCAGGATAGATGTGTGCTGACCCAGTTCACCCAGTTCCCTTTCGCCTCAGCTCCCTCCCACCTCCGTTCCCTCTTGCTTATCGCTAACTGCCTCCGCTTCTGTACAAGCAGCTTGCTTGCTCTGCTAAACTCTTGAATGACCCCTGCCCTATATAAGCAACCCTCCCCCTGAGCTCAGAGCTGCAGTTCTCCTCTGTGTAGGTTGGCTGCAGTCCCTGCGCAGGTAATAAAACATCCCCTAAAACTGAAAAATTGAGTCTGAGTGTGGTCGATCTTCTGGGTTACAACACAGTGGGGGGAAAGTAAGTACAGTGCCTTGGAAGATATCCTGTGCAAAGTAAGTGACCCCGGAGATTAAGCTTTATTAGTTTCACAATAAATTCACCTCTGCCTGCAGGTCTGCCAGAGTGTGAATAATTAATCTACAAGGGAAAATTTTCATTGTAAGCCCTACAGTAAAGACAACAAAGGATTTAAAGATGAAAATAGTAGAACCTAATGAAAAGCTCTAGAATCACTTAAATACTCAACCTGTCCATGTTTATTCTTCTACATTTTTTATTTATAACATCATGTTCTAGGTTTTAAAAAGAATAAGTAAAATACATGAAAGAATAGAAATCAGCCATAATTTTATTCCTCAAAGATGATTCCTAGAATATAAGCTCCAAATGTATTTTGTTTATTGTGTCTCCTCAGTGATTGGAACACCCAGCACATTTGCTATTAAATGAATTGGGATAAGTTCCGGAAGGGGGAGGGGGGTGATATTTAGACGTAGGGTTAGTGTAAAGCATATATCATGAAAAAGGTGTAAAAATTCAGAACAAAGGGACCACAGTCAGAAGACATGGGTTTGAATCTAGCAGAGATTAAAATCTGGGAGTTCGCTTGGCTGGTGTGGTTCAGTGATTGTCAACCCAGGCACCAAGATGTCGCCGGTTCAATTCCCTGTCAGGGCACATACCCAGGTTGTGGGCCAAATCCCCAGTGGGGGGCATGCAGGAGCCAGCCAATAGACATTCTTATCAATGTCTCTATCTCTCCCTCTCCCTTCCTCTCTCTCTAAAAAATCAATAAAGAAAAAAAATTTTTTTTTTTTAATCTGGGAGTTCCTCCCTAGCCAGTGTGGCTTGGTTGGGCATCATCCCGTGCACCAAAAGGTTGCCAGTTCAATTCTTGGTCAGGGCACATGCCCAGTTTGCAGGCTTGATCCCTGGTAGGGGGCATGCAGTAGGCAGGCAATTGGTGTTTCGCTCTTACATTGATGTTTCTCTCTCTCCCTCTCCCTTCCTCTCTCTCTAAAAAGCAATAAAATTATTTTTTAAAAATCTGGGAGTTCCTAGATTAACATATTTTGTTTGTCTTATGCAGCATTAAAATAATTTTTGATGAGATGCCAACCTTTAAAAATATGGAAAATTTACAGAGAAATATGAATATCTAGCTTCTTTTTACAAAATGTAAAGCTCTGGAAACATTGAGATCCCATTCCTACATGATAAAAAAGAAAGGCTGGAGCTGAGTGGAGGCTCTCCTTAAAAATGCTCATCTTCACTAAAGTCTCCTCCTAGCTCAGCACATTTATGTAGATTTCCTCTGAGACTCTATAGGCATTAGAGTTTGCAATATCTGACAGAACTCTGGGACTTGATATTGGAAGTAAGGTTGGGGCCATGGGTATCCAAAAGGGGAGTTTGTACTTTATCAAATGGGCAAGAGGGAGGGTTGAACAGTGTTTGCTGTTACTACCATTGTGTAACAAATCATCCCAAAACTAAGTGGTGTAAGAGAGCAATACTTTATTTAGATCATAATTTTGTGAATGGGCTCAGCTGTGTGGTTCTTCTGGTCTTGACTGGGCTCATTCATGTGACAGGGCCATTTGCTGGCCCAGCTAGTCTAGTATGACCTCAGCTGAGACAGGTTGTCTCTGCTCCATGAGGTCTCTCATCTTCCAGCACACTAGTCCAGTTCATGTCTGGGTAGAGTTCCAAGAGAGGGAATGGAAATTTGTAAGTCCTCTTGAAGCCTAGGCTTGGAATGGCACACCGTCACTTCCACATTTATTGGCCTACGCCAGTCACAATGCCAGTCAAGATTCAATTTGTGGGGAAGTAGGCTCCACTTTCTTTTTTTTAAAAAAATCATTATACTGTGGAAAGTTATAAGCATATTCAGAAGAGAAGAACATATGAACCTATGAACCCATCATCCAGATTCAAGTTAGTAACTCATAGATAATCTTATTTTGCTTTTTTCTTAATTTACAATTATTCCTCCTCCCTCTGGATTATTTTGAATCAGATCCCAGATATATAATTTCATCATCTATAAACATTTCAGTTTGTAGGAGAAAATCTTTCTTTTCAATTGAAATATAATTGACATACAATAATATATTAGTTTCATGTGTAGACTCCACATTGTGATGGCAGGAGCTGCAAAGTCACAGTGCCAAGAGCTGTCAATACAGAGAGAGATATGTTTTTGTAAAGCATCTATCACAGTTATATCAGAGGCATATTTTTGACAGGATTGTTTGGAGGGGAAAATGTTCTACATGACTGGAACTGTTTTCTGTTTGTAACAGTGAAGTGCTGCCTCACTGCACCCAGAAATAACTACATGTCAAAGAATAGGAGAGAGAAATATGCCCAGCTTGTGCCTCTTCCAGCTTCTTGTCCAGGGAGGGACTCTTTAGTTTCAGTTTCAATTCGCAGCTTTGTAAAAGATAGACAGTTTCTCTAAGATTCCTGTGAATGAATGAACAGAAAGTTAGACAAGAGAAGGAAGCTGAAAGCCAAGCTAGAAACACAAATATGTTTCTACACTGCACAATAGTGTAGAAACTGCACTCCTTTTGGTCTGCCTGGAGCCCAAACCATCATCTGCATCCGTGCCTTTGTGATACAAAGTTCCCTCTTACTTGATCAACTTCTCAAATACAAGTAGCTTCTCAAATACAAAGGAGGGGTAAACTCACATCTGAGTGTGAATTAGTTTTAGGCATTAGATTCTCTAATACCAGAAGGATCCTGGGTTGTAAGGGAGTCTAGAAGAGGAAAGAGCGAGGGAAAGATGGGGGGAGGGTGAGAGAGAGAGAGAGAGAGAAAATATAGGCTGCAGTAATCTACCTCCCCAACCCAATTTAGACTAAACAACATCCCTTAGCACAGGGTTTCTGAAGTCCTGTACTATTGATATTTGGGCTGTAGAATTCTTTGTTGTAGGGGGCTGTCCTGTGCATTGTAGGATGTTGAGTAGCACCTAGGTGCCAGTAGTATGACCTACCCCACTCATCTTCCCTGAGTTGTGACAACCAAAAATGTCTCTAGACATAGCCAAATGTTCCCTGAGTGGAAAAACCACTTCTGCTTGTGAACCATAAAGGAAATCTTTCATGAAAGTAAAATAACACATGTGGCTCACAGGTTTTAGATCAGAGAAGACCCTACCATTAACAGAGGGCCGCTGGAAGGGCTCATATGCCCGGCAGTCATCAATGATCTCCTGCAACTGTGAAGGGCAATCTTCACCCAGTGGCTCCTGGTACCGGTCCACAGCTACCAGCTGGTAGATCTTCTTAGAATCATAGCCTGGTATGGAAACAATAGGATGGGAGGCTTAAAAATTGCTCTGGCACTCACACATCTCTCTGGGTGATGATGGCTGGCATCAGACCTAGGGACTTTGAGTACTGAAGAAACAAGAGCTTCCAATGACTTTATTGACCAGCCCACATTGGAGAACAAAGCACCCAGGACAACAATGATGGGGATTTTCTAGTCTATTGGAAAGAGACCCAATCCCAGCACCATCTGAGCCAACCTTCACACTGGTTACCTTCAAATGGGATCTTCCCAGTGGCGATTTCCCAGAGAACAATTCCAAAGCTGAAAGAAAACAAATAAACTGAACAATCATAATGTTTCTGTTTTCCCACACACCTTAGCCATTTCTAGAAACTTCAATGAATTAAAAAAATTTTTTTCTTTATTGATATTAGAGAGAGAGGAAGGGAGAGGGAGAGAGATAGAAACATCGATGAGAACATCGATTGGCTGCCTCCTGCATGCCCCCCACTGAGAATTTGGCCTAAAACCTGGACATGTGCCCTGACCGGGAATTGAACCGGTGACCTCTTGGTGCATGGGTCAATGCTCAACCACTTAGCCACACCATCCAGGCTTCAGTGAATTTTTTTATTGCCACCCAATTCCACTCAATAGAGTAGAGGTATGATGGTCCTTGGTTGTGGATTTTGACTTGGGCTTTCCTGTCCTGTTCATCTGAGTTAGAGTCTGTGCAAGAACACGAACATACCTGTATATTTCAGCTTTTATGTCATATTTATCAAATATATTTTCCAGTATTTGAGGTGAGACATATGCTGTGGAACTGACTCTCTCTGCTCTTTTTGTCTTAGTTGCTTTGCTGATGGAAGTCTGTGTTTTGCTCAACTCAAATCCTGAAAGCTAGATGGAGAGGAGAATTAGAGAGAGAAGAAAACATCACAATCTTGGGTTAGGGATAATGGGCAGGGGTTGGTGCTACACCTGATTGTCAGGGGATAGTCTTTTACCTTTGAAATGTATTTCTAGTGGTGTCTTCTCTCTGTGTGGCTACCCTACTGGATGGCATTATGGGTTCAATGTATTATGGTACATTGACCAAGAGAAACACAGGTTTCTTCTCTATAAAATGGGGCATGAGGATTACTTGAGAATGGTTAAAAAGCACCTGTAAGACTTGGTAAGTTGCAGTTGTTCTAGAATTACTGTATTAGGTACAGGGCTTTCTCAGTTGAGGACTCAACTTCACTAATTGAGGGTGGACAGAGGTACACAGAGCCACCACATAGCTTGCTTTCTCTCAAGGGCATTCCCTCTGTTCTATCTGACCCTATAAAACAGCCAGCCTCTTCCTCTGGATTTTACATGGCAACTGTGAGTTACCCCCATTGACCCTGCATGGCCAACACCATGTTCTTAAAGAAGCCACAGAACAATTAATAGGCACAGATGTTCTCCTTGCTCCATGCACACCTGTCATTAGCACCGTCAGTGCGCAGAGGGCTGCAGCCCCAAACCTGGCTAGATACGCAAATCTAGGGGCAAGGTCAGGAAAAGGATAAGACATTTAGAGAGCTCAGCCCGCCCGGGCCGGTTTGGCTCAGCGGTTAGAGCATTGGCCTGCGGTCTGGAGAGACCCGGGTTCGGTTCCCGCTAAGGGCACGTACCTCGGTTGCAGTTTGTCCCCAGCCCTGGTTGGGTCGTGTGGGTGGCGACCACTCGATGTGTCCCTTTCACATCGATGTTTCTCTCTCTCTCTCTCTCCCTCCCACTCTATCTGAACAAAATATCGAAAAATGTCCTCGGGTGAGGATAAAAATAAATAAATAAATAAATAAATAAATAAATAAATAAATAAATAAATAAATAGCTCATCCCCTTTCCAATGCATGTTTACTGAGCAATGATATCCTCTGACATCTGGCACCATGCTAGATACTGGAGAGGAAAGGCTGAATAGCACATGTTACAGGATGAGGATCATGAGTGATGTAGACATGGTGCAAGCACTTTATCACACCAATGAGGAGGAAAGGCATCTATCTGAAAGGCAGAAAAGACCTGTCTTCTGTTTTTTGAGGGCTGTCCTTGACATTCATGAGGCTGGAAGAAAGAAAGCCATTTATAGATGACAAAGAAAATATTCTTTTAGTATTTGGGAATTGTGGACATCAAGTTAAACCCTTACCTCTTCTGTATGAGAATCTGACTTTTTAGCTCCATTCTCCTGGGAACCTGATAAAAGCAGACTGTTACCTATGCTCCTAAGTAATATTGGTGATGACAAAAAATGATCACTGATTGGTAAAAGTTTATTGACAGGGGGTGTGGGGACTATAAAGAGCTAATAGAGCCCTGGCTGGTTTTGCTCAGTGGTTAGAGCGTCAGCCCGTGGACCAATGAGTTGCGGGTTCAATTCTGGCCAAGGGCATGTACCTCAGTTGTGGTTCATCCCCGGCCCTGGTCAAGGTTGCAATGGAGGCAATCTGTCAATATATCCCTCTCACGTCGATATTTCTCTCTCCCTCCTTCTTCCTCTCTGTCCCTCCCTCCCACTCTATCTGAAGAGAAATAGAAAAACAGCCTCAGGTAAGGATTAAAAATAAAATGGAGCTGATAGAGATGCTGGGCTTTATGGTGAGTCTTATAACTGACATGCCCCTTGTGGGGACACTTGAAGATATGCCTGAGGAGCTGTTAAGGCTAGAGGGCCCCACACCCGCCCTAGGGGAGCCTCTTTCTCTAGCACTTGGGGCAGGGCAAAGAGAATATCTCCTGGAGGACTGTAGGAACAGCTGTGGGGACTCCCACTGGAGAGTAAGATTTGATGCTGCCCTACAGGCAAGCTATGTTTCCTGCATGGTACCCTTCCAAGTGACTCTAAGTGCCAAGTGTAGCCTGTGTCAGTCCTGTGAGTCCAAATGCCTAGTTGGACCTGAGAAGATACCCTGGTGGGTACTGAGGGGACACAGAAGTGGTGTCCAGGCATCTAAAAGGAAACTAATCTTAGCCCATGCCTGCTAAGTGGGCGGTGATGGAAGAAGGGCAGCATAACAGCAGGCAGGATTGAGGATGTCCTGTAGTGGGCATACGGAAAGCTGTCCAGGCAGGGAAAGAATTGAGTTCAGTTCTAAGTTTAAGGCAGAGAAACAAGTAGGCACAACCTTTTTGGGAAACAGGTGTCCCTCTCCCAGCACCAACCAGTCACAAAGGTTGAACTCAAAGAGCCCCCCTGGAAGGCCACGCTCACCTTCACTTGGTAGTCGTTGGTTACCAGGAAGCTGCTGCTGCTGATGTTTCTGTGGAGTTCGGGGGGTTCTGAATGGTGCAGTCTGACATGACAAAGGCAGGGAGCATTAGTGACCTTTACACAGACCTTCCTGGGGGCTTGACAGTTATTACTGGGACAATGGAGGCTGGTCAGTACTATGCCTTCCTTATGGGCAGCTATCCATGGATAGATGGGACAAGGACAGGTGGAAACAAAAATCCTGGACACTTTTAGCTATCGATAAGGGCAAAAGGGCTCCATTGCCCATGGATATTGTTCTGTAGACGGCAGCCAGGAGCTGTGAACAGCAAAGTATGCCAAATGGGGGATGACTACGCAGAGCTGCTAAAAAGGATCAGAGGCCATCTGGATGGGGCACTAACAGCACCCACTATGGTTTATAAATGCTTCTCATAAAACCCACTAGTGCAGAGAGTTAACATTAATTATTAATATATATAAAATAAATAGCTAAAGCAGTATTTCCAAAAGTATGGGATAACAAAAGTATGCAAGATGACACAGTAAGAACATTTTTCTCCTTTCAAGTTCTGATTACATCAAGGAGAAAATCGCAGTTTGGTGTCAGGCATCTTTTTTTTAAAATTTTTTTTAAATGTTTTTATTGCCCTGGCCAGTTAGGCTCAGTGGTTAGTGAACCAACAGGTTGCGGGTTTGATTCCTGTCAAAGGCACATGCCTCAGTTGCGGTTTGTCCCTGGCCCTGGTTGGGGTCCTGGGGGAGGCAACCAGTAGATGTGTCCCTCTTATGTCAATGTCTCTCTCTCTCTCTCCCTCCCTCTGAAGATAAATAAAATATCCTTGGGTGAGATTAAGATATATATATATGTATGTGTGTGTGTGTATATATATATACACATATATATGTTTTTATTAATTTTTTTAGAGAGAGAGAAATAGAAACATTGATGTGATAAACATCAATCGGCTGCCTCCTGCACGCCCCCTACTGGGGATCAAGCCTGCAACCCAGGCATGTGCCCTGACCAGGAATCAGACTGGGACCTCTCAGTCCATGGGAGGACACTGAATCCACTGAGCCACAGCAGCTGGGCTGGTGTCAGGCATCTTTAATACCTATTAAATTAGATATCTGTGAGTGTCTCCTCTGTACAAAGGGAACGTGGGTCTGAACTACAGACCTTTTGGCAGGCAACAGCTGTTCTTTAAAAATGCAATGCATTAGCCCTGACCAGTTTGACTCGGGTTAGAGTGCCAGCCTGTGGACCAAGGAGTCATGGGTTTGATTCTGGTCAGAGTCATGTACCTCAGTTGCAGTTCGAGGGAACCAACTGGTGTCTTTCTCTCTCTCACATCGATGTCTCTCTCTCTCTCTAAAGATAAATAGAAAAATATCCTTGGGTGTGGATTCAAAAATAAATAAATAAATGCAATGCATTATAACAATGTTTTAGTTTTATTTATGGTCACCTATTTGTGGTAGGTAATTCTGTTTTTTGATTTATGGTAGTAATATAAAGTGCCCTTTTACTTTATTTAGATTTTTGGAAAAGTGAGCTGATTTAAAAAAGCAATATTAAATAAATAATAATGGCAGAATTGTGGATATGCTAAAAATCATGAAAATGGTCTGTGAATGACTGACCTTTGGGGACCCTTGGGCTAAAGAAACCATAGAATCTGCATGTGAGAGTAGGGAGAGTTGCCAGGTAAAATACAGGACACGCAGTTGATTTTGAATTTTTCTATAATCAGTGAATTTTTTTTCTTTATTGATTTTAGAGAGAGGAAGAAAGAGGGAGAGAGGGATGGAAACATCAATTGGCCGCCTCCTGTATGCCCATCACTGGGGATTTGGCCCACAACCTGGGCATTTGCCCTGACTGGGAATCGAACCAGCAACCTTCTGGTACATGGGTCGATGCTCAACCACCAAACCACACCAGCCAGGTGATAATCAATGAATTTTTTAATTGTAAGTATGTTCTAAAGTTGCATGTGACATACTTCTACTATAAAGTTATTTATTGTTACTGAACTTCTATATATCTGAAATTTTAGAAGAAGTATATCTCATGTAATATTTGGGATATACTTATATTTGAAAAATCATTATTGCTTATCTTAAATTCATATTTAACTGGGCATCTTGTATTTTTATTTGCTAAATCTGGCAACCTTAAGAGTAAGGCGTGTCCAACTCCATAAGAGCAGCTTGGACATGAAGTTTGACCTTCAATTGTGTGATCTGGAGCTCACTGGGTTAAGTGTCCTTTCTCCTTCCTGTTTTGGGTAAGTAATAAGAGTAAGTAATAAAACAACTTCAGAAAGTGGAGACTATCTGAGGCTTCTGGCCTGTTCTCTCATCATGTCTGGTATTATCAGTAGGGGAGGCAGATTCATTCTGTTCTTCTTGGTACCCTTTCAACCCATATGGTACCTGTATAAGCCTCTGGCTGCCCCCAGGGCCAGGATGATGCGCTCTGCCATTCTGAAGTCCTTTTTCTGATCCAGCAGTTCCCTCAGGGTCCCAAGGTCACAGTACTCCATGACAATGGAGAATTGAGGTGGGGTCACTGACGAAAAGAAGATCAGCCCACTCAGAGGTCCTGCTCTGCAGCCCATTTCCCTCTGTCTGTACAGAGACAGGCTCAGCTCTGCACTGTTTCTCTCCCACCCTCTATCCCCTACAGTTTGCATCTTGACCTCATTGAATGGGTCAAATACTCAGAGTTCCCATACCTCTCAGTGGTAATTGGCATGTCATAATTATATATTTCTCTTAGTTATCTGAATAATGGCTCCCCCATTCAAGTGTAAGCCCCAGAAGCAGGGTCTGTTTTGGTCACAAGGAGCTTAGTAAATATGTGTGGAAGGAATGAATGATGCACAGACCCCAGGCACTGGTAAGGGGAGCTCAGACCAGAATGGAGGTTTCAGGTTACAGGCCTGAGAGGCAACAACTGACACACAAAGAATAAGTCAGTCAATTCAGCTATCACCCAGGTGAACAAACATCACGGGAAGTTTCTCTTTAGTCATCTGAGGCTGTGGAGAAACTTCTAGAGGGGATAAGACAGGAATTACCCTGTGTCCTCTGTAGGCAAGAGCAACAACACATATCCCACAGGAGAGGCCATGCTATGAGAGAAAATGCAGCCACATTAATAAATTAAAATTGCCATGGCCAGTTTGGCTCAGCAGTTAGAGCGTCAGCCTGCAGTCCGGAGAGACCCGGGTTCGGTTTCCGCTAAGGGCACGTGCCTTGGTTGCAGTTTGTCCCCGGCCCTGGTTGGGTCGTGTGGGTGGCAACCACTCGATGTGTCCCTTTCACATCGATGTTTCTCTCTTTCTCTCTCCCTCCCACTCTATCTGAACAAAAAATAGAAAAATGTCCTCAGGTGAGGATAAAAAATAAATAAATAAAATAAAAAATTAAAATTAAAAAGAACCTGATGCATGAGGTTTTTGGTAAAGGGGCAGGTTAACTGAGTTTTTAGGTTTGATCTATACTAATGGTGATCAAGGGTAGATTCCTTATTCTGATCAGTCAGCTTTATAATGTTTTATTGCAACAAAATGCATTCATCACTCATGCCAGCATCTGAACAAGAACCCCTGGGTTCCCAGTGTACTGGGAGAAGAGGATGTGGCCACATTAGTGCAAACCAGCCCTTGGGCTAAAGCTGATTTCAAGCCTTTGTTTCCTGAAAGAATATGGGAACCTGCATCTTGGGATGTAAAAAAAAAAATTAACACTGATAATAATAACACTGTGCAGATTCCATTCTTTCAGCTGTTCTTTTTTTTTTTTTTTTTTTATCCTCACCCGAGGACATTTTTCCATTTTTTGTACAGATAGAGTGGGAGGGAGAGAGAGAAGAGAGAGAGAGAGAGAGGGAAACATCGATGTGAAAGGGACACATCGAGTGGCTGCCACCCGCACGACCAACCAGGGCCAGGGACAAACTGCAACCAAGGTACATGCCCTTAGCGGGAACTGAACCCGGTCTCTTCGGACCGCAGGCGGACGCTCTAACCGCTGAGCCAAACCGGCCAGGGCTCAGCTGTTCTTTAAAAATGCAATGCATTACTACACAGAAGATATATGACAGACCACCAAAAGGACAATTCCCAGAAGCACTCTACCTTTTTCATCAATGCAAATCCCAAATATACGCAGGATGTTAGGAGAATCAAATTTCTTCATGGCTTTGATCTCATTATTGAAAGTAAGCCTCACTGTTCTATGAGGATAGAAGGGACAATTAGGATTTCAGGACTGAAAGGCTCCTCTGAGAACATTAGTGTAGGGACCATCTGTGTATGTGTGGGCGTGAGGGATTGTGAGCATCTCCTGGGGCAAGAACTGGTGCTGTGATGAGCTTAGCCACTGATGGCACAATGTGGAACCTCTCAGAGGTTTGGTAGCAGAATTAGCATGTACGATACATGCTACAACATAGATTTACCATGAAAATATCATGCTAGGTAAAAGGAGCCAGACACAAAAAGGCCACATACCATATCATTCCATTTATGTAAAGCATTCAGAACACACAAATCCACAGAGATTAGTAAGTGCTTAGAGCTAGAGATGGTGGGGGTGACGATGTATGGGGCATGACTGCTAATGGCTATAGGGTTTCTTTCTGGAATGATGAAAATGTTCTAAAACCACTTTATGGCAATAGTTGTACAACTCTGTAAATGTATTAAAGCCATTAAATTATACACTTTAAATGGCTGAATCTTCTGGTATGTAAGTAATATTTCAATAGAGTTGTTAAAAAATTCTATCCTAATCAAAGTCTCAATGTGTATGTTGAGGAATGTGATATTTACTTAGCTTAGTCAGCCTCAGAAAGAAGAGTCAAGAGGAGGGAGATATCTTACTAGATGTTGAGAATTACTACAAAGTGAAAACAAAACAAAACACAGTGTTATCAGTGCAAAGACAAACTGACCAATGGAATACATAGAGAGGTCAGAGCCAGATTCATGTATAAATAGAAACTTAACATACAATAAATGTGGCACCACAAATCAATGGGGAAGAACATTTAATAGATGGTATAGAGAAAATGGACTCACTGTGCAGATACAAATAAAACTAGGCCCTACATAATATCACATACAAAGTTGGATTCCAGAAGGATTAAAGCCTAAATGTGAAAAATAAAACTGCAAGTTAATAGGAGAAATCTAGAATACCTAGGAGTGGGGAAGGGCACCTCAGGAGCACGAATAATAATGTAAAAGTTGGGTAGAATTGATAACATCAAAATTTAAGATGTCTGTTGAGGAAGACCAACAAAACTATAGAAAATGTGGCGAGAGAAGACCTTTGCAATATCTAAAGGTTAGAAATGATTAATTTCCACAACATACAAGGATCTCCCACTAGTTGACAAGACAAAAACAGCAACTGTGACAGAAAGAAGGACAAAGGATATGAACATGCAGTATGTAGTGGAAACCCCCAAAATAACTAAAAGCCATATGACTAAATGTTTGATTTCATTAGTAACCAGAAATGCAAATGAAAATAACTATAAGATGTTACTTTATAACCACAAGGATGAAAAATATTAGAAAGCTAGATAATACCAAGGGTTGGTGGAGATATGTAATTACAGAGCTCTCACGTTGCTGGAGGGAGTACAAGCATAGACAACTCATTTCTGAAGAGTGACCTGGAAGTACTCAGTTAATTTCATATATGCATACCCTGTGATCCATTGATTCCTCTCCTGGCAACACAGCCCAGAGAAATTCTCATACAGGTCCATAAAGGGATACTTATGGTGGCATTATTTTTGGTGGGGGCAAGCTGGAAACAGGTTGGGTTCCATCACTGGAAAAACAGGTAAAATGTGGATCTACACCACAGACAGCAGTCAGAAGTAAAGGGCTACAAGTGTAGTACATGTTCCATGATGCTGAGTGAAAAGGGTAAGAATTGTAGGCAACAGACATTGGTGAAAATTAAAAATGCATACCATACACAGGTAATAACAAACATTTTGCAAGATCACACACAAAGGAAATACACTTTATTGTCTGTAGGGGGTGGGGTGGGGAATTGAGAAATAGGAATGGAAGGGAATAAAGTTTTTAAAATAAGTAAATATATGAATAAAAGAGAGAAGTTTCTAGAATTGAAGTTGGAAAACATGCATTTCAGTCTAGGCTCTGCAACTTAAGAGTAGAGGGAAAATCATTTAACCCTTTGGGGCCTGTTTCCCCCACCTAAAAATGGAGACAAGCCTCTCTTCTTGGGGAGTTATAGAGAGGAAGTGAAATGGTACATGAGAGAACTATACAAAACGACTTACCCAATGTTTTTGGCCTGGACGTTGTTGAATACTTTTATGGCCACTGGAGATTGGTGATATTTTCCTTTAAAAACTTTGCTGAATTCATTTTCCCTTTGTAGGATCCAGTCGGATTCTGAAAGCTCCTCCTTCTTAATCTCTTTGATTTGATATTCTGAGACCCTCTTCATCAAATTCTGTACGTCTGACCATAGGACAGAAGGAAATTGTCAATGAGTTAAGGAAGGTGTCCTAAGGGAAGAGGTATCTTAGTAAACATTGAGAGTGGGAAGTCCTACACCATGAACAAAGGTGGCTCTGACAGGAGCGTCTGATGGACTCATCCTGGGGGACAGGTTCCAGTGCCTGTGAGTGACCAGTAGAGACACAGCTTGATGGTTAACAAAAATGTGTCATGTACTTCCTTGTCAAATCCTGTTTGTCTCTGCAGCCTAAACCTCCATCTCAATCCATCTCTCTCATTTTGGAGTCCTCCCTACTCTTACTGCCACTTGAACTTGGCACTTGAACATTCAGCATCTTGTCTAGTCATTTCGGTTCTAATAGTTAGATACATAGTTCAAGCTCAGTAACTCCACTGCTGCAATTCACATGACTCTCTTTCCTCTCCCTTCCTCTACCCTGTGGCTGTGAGCTCCCCAAAGGCAGCATCTTTCTCTGCATTTTACTTTCCTCTATCTACAAGGCTCATAAAGCAGTTACAGATTTTTCAAATGAGTGATGATTATTTTAAATTGGATTTAAATTTGTTCTTGAAAAGTCAGCAAATGAAGCCCCGATGCTATGTAGAGGAAGTTGTCAGCACTTGGACCAGTGCTAGTCATGAGCACATCCCAAAACCTGAGCTGTTTCTAACCATCCAGCCCAGAAAATGGGCAGTGGTGGGGTGGGGGCAGACTGAAGTTCCTGGTAAACAAATGATTTCTGGTTTGGGGGCAGTAAAAAGCAGCAGGGCACAAGGTAACTCACAGTGGCTCGAGGTCTCTATGATTTTTTTCATGTTGGCCTCCATGATTTTTTTCACATCATTTTTCAATTGCTCCAATGAAGCTTCAATATTTTCACTTCCTGCAGAAAAAAGAGTAGCAAATACTCAAAAATAGAAATGCTAATTAAAAGTACACTGAGCCCTGGCTGGTTTGGCTCAGTGGTAGAGCGTCAGCCTGAAGACCAATGAGTCCCAGGTTCGATTCCAGCCAAGGGCACTTACCTACGTTGCAGTCAGTCATCCCTGGCCCTGGTCAGGGTCATGCGGGAGGCAACCAGTTGATGTGTCTTGCTCACGTCGATGTTTCTCTCTCTCTCCCTTCTTTTCTCTCCCTCTTTCTATACCTGAAGATAAATATCCTCGAATGAGGATAAAATAAATAAATAAATAAAAGCACACCGAGATTTCATTTTTTTCCCCAAACCTATCATATTCATTGCAGTAGGAATTACTACTACTGCTTTCTATTTCTAAGCACACAGTAAGTGCCTTGAGGCATGGTCATGTGACTTGCTTTGCCCAAGAAATGAAAAAAATATCAGGGAAGTTTGTGTCAACATAGAAGTGCCACAGTACCGCCCTGGCCGGTTTGGCTCAGCAGTTAGAGCATCGGCCTGCGGTCCGGAGAGACCCGGGTTCGGTTCCCGCTAAGGGCATGTACCTCGGTTGCAGTTTGTCCCCGGCCCTGGTTGGTCGTGCGGGTGGCAGCCACTCGATGTGTCTCTTTCACGTCGATGTTTCTCTCTCTCTCTCTCTTCCTCTCTCTCCCTCCCACTCTATCTGTGCAAAAAATGGAAAAATATCCTCGGGTGAGGATAAATAAAAAAAATAAAAAAAAAGAAGTGCCACAGTACTGAAAGTTCCTGGAAAGGACAGCTACCTTAGAGTCTGTTGGACTTTGCCTGAATAAGAAATAAACGTTCCTTTCTTTAAGACACTGAGTTTTTGGCCCTGGCCAGTTTGTCTCAGCGATTAGAGCATTGGCTTGTGGACCAGGAAGTCCTGGGTTTGGTTCCTGCTAAGGGCACGTACCTCGGTTGCAGTTTGTCCCTGGCCCCGACTGGGGTCATGTGGGTGGCAACCACTCAGTGTGTCTCTCTCACATCAACGTCTCTCTCTCTCTCTCTCTCTCTCTCTTCCTCCCTCTCTCCTTTCTGCTTTATCTGAAGATAAATGCAAAAAAAAAAAAAATTGTCCTTGGGTGAGCATTAAAAAAAAGACACTGAGTTTTTCTATTTAAAAAACTTTTTTATAGATAGAGTAGAAGGGGGAGGGGAGAGAGGGAGAGAGAGAGAAACATCAATTGGTCACCTTCCACATGACCACAACCAGGGCCAGGGATTGAACCTGCAACCCTGGTACATGCCCTTGACTGGAAATTGAACGTGAGACCCTTTTGGTCCCCAGGCTGACACTCTAACTGCTGAGCCAAACCGGCCAGGGTAGGACATGTTTTTTTTTTTTTTTAAACATAACATAATCTAATCTATCCTTATTTATATACTCAGAAATACATTTAAAGTTTAATAAAAACACTATATAGGATGGCCAACCATCCCTGTTTTCCCAGGATTGAGAAGTTCTGAGGACTTGGGAGCTTCAGTGCTAAAACCAGGACAGTCTCTAGTAGAGAAAAGTGTGGAGAAACAGGTAATCTCACAGATTGTTGGTAGGAATGAAGGAATGATATTTGTATAACCTCCATGGAGGACAATCTGGCAATCACTGTCAAAATTTAAAGTGCTCAGCATGGAGAAAATAAAGACATCTGTAAAAAAAAAAAAAAATTTGAAGTGCCCATACTCTTTGACCCAGCAATTAGACCCACTTATAGGAATTGTTCTTAAAGATATCCTGAAATATATACAAAGATGCTTACTGCAGGACTATACACAATTGTGAAAAATTGGACACAACTTAAATGTCCATCAATAAGGAGCTGCTTAAATACATCTGGTTCATGTATACCAAGAAATACTAGACAAATCTATAGAAATTAATATGAAAAAATGTTCAAGATTTAATGAGAGAAGCAAGAAGCAGAACAGTGTGTTTAGGATCCTACAGATTGTGTAACAATTACAACAAAATCTATATACTTAACTATCTAGAAGGCTATTGAAGAAACTGGTAGGGGAGATTGTATCTGGGAAGGAAACAGGTCCCTTGAGGTCAAGAGTGAGAGGGAGCCCAGCCAGTGTGGCTCACAGGTTAGGTGTTGACCCCTGCACCAAGAGGTCACTGGTTCAATTCCCAGTCAGGGCACATGCCCAGGTTGTGGGCCCAATCCCCAGTGGGGGACATGCAGGAGGTGGCCAATCAATGTTCCCACTCATCGATGTTTCTATCGCTGTCTCCCTCTCCCTTTCTCTCTCTCTAAAATCAATAAAGGAAAAATAAAAAAATTTTTTAAAAAAGGAGTGAGAGGGAGATTTACTTCTCATGCTGGGCCCTTTTTGTACCTTTTATACTATGTGAATATAGTACTTGATAAAGATATTCTTTAAAAACTGAAAAGCTGCCCTGGTCAGTTTGGCTCAGCGGTTAGAGCGTCTGCCTGCAACCCAGAGAGACCTGGGTTCGGTTCCCACTAAGGGCATGTACCTCGGTTGCAGTTTGCCCCAAGCCCTGGTTGGGTCCTGTGGGTGGCAGCCACTCGATGTGTCCCTTTCACATCGATGTTTCTCTCTTTTCCTCTCCCTCCCTCCCACTCTATCTGAACAAAAAAATTGGAAAAATGTCCTCGGGTGAGGATAAAAAAATAAAATAAAAATCTCGGTTCTTCAACCAACAAAACTGAAAAAAAAAACAAAAAAAAACCCAAAAACAAAAAACAAAACAAAACTGAAAAGCAAGACCAGAAAGTAAATCCTGTCCTCCAAGTTCATGACACCAACATGCCTCTCACCTCCACCAGGAAGTGGACCAATAAGTGCTGAAGATAAGGAAGGCTGGAGGCCAATCCTGTCTTTCAGCTGGGTCAGCCTCAGCACACATCCCTCCCCTGCCCTCCAATCCCTGATTGTCTTTCACCTTGTTGAGAGATTACAGATGCTTCACTTTCCCTTATCCAGAAAAGGGCCCATTTTGCCCACAAGTCTCCTCCAGACCCAGTTTATCCTGTGTGAGTGTCTCCTGCTGACCTGATTGGGGATGGACCACCTTCCACATCAAGTGGTAGAATAATTATTCCACAGCCCTCCAATGCCCAGAAGGTTCATGCAAATGTCCTTCACTGTCTCCTCACTTCCCCTCTCTCCACCCACTATCCTTACAAAAGGGAAGAGTTTAGAATTCATATCACCAGAATCTGCAAAGTCATAAAGAGGCCACATTTGTTTCCATCCTTCCTCTCTGTTCCCTCTTCTGGTGGCCTGGGCTCCAATGTCCACGCCCCTACTCCAACCTAGCCCATGTTTCATCCCCTTAGAGCTTTGTCTTCCACTAAGTCCACCTAGTTCAAGGGCCACTGTAGTTCAAGCCACTGTCATCTCTTACCTAGTCTCAAAGTGGTCTCCTAAATGAGCTCACATTTTTCACTCTTGCCCTCTAGGGTATATTGAATTATTGGTCCCAATTCTTCACTCCTATGTAGTAGTATATACATTCACAGCCTGGCCATAGTTTTATATAAGCACACTGTACTTCCCTGTCCCTTCATGTTGGGCTTGGCTATAGCAATGGCTTTGAATACTGGTGGATAGAAGTACAGGTTTGAAAGGTGCTGGCACCGTTGGGCTTGCCTTCTTGCAATTCTGCCGTAAGAACATTCTCCAGGTACTCGCTGCTTCTACAGCCTTGGCTCCAGAATGAGACACATTAAACGGAACAAAATTAGACCTGCTGCCTGGAGCCACGCCCACCTGAGATCAGAAGAACCCCAATGGACCCACAGATTTGTGAGCAGGAGAATTAGTGACTATTGTTTTAAGCCTGTGAGTCAGTGAAGCAACTAATACATATCACTACACTCCATTGCCACATGACAGCCCAAGTAATGTTCTTTTAATACAAGTCAAATCATGACAGGCCCACGTTTAAGGACCTCCCTTCACTGGCTTCCTATGACTCTTAGAATAAAATCTAAATTTCTTATCATGCCTCCATGGCCCTGCATGACCTTGCTCCTGTATCTTCTGGCCTCCTTCCCACGTTCATCTCGTACTACTCTCTCTTCCATGTCTGCCCCACCAAAGCCATCCTGGCCTTCTGGTGGTTCCTTGCACTTGCCACATTTATTCCCATCTCAGGGCCTTTGCATCTCATCTTCTCTGCCGGGAATTCTCCTCTTCCTCATCTTCACGTAGCTTGCTCCTTCTCATTATTCCAGGTGTCCATTCCAATGTCATCCAGTCAGGGAGGCTCTCCCTGAACACTCAGTCTGCACCCAGTCGATTTCTATTTCATTGCCCTGCTTATGACTTTCACTGCCTTTAGATAAAATGACTTACTTAGCCCTCTATCTGCATAACTTATGTTCCACGAGGGCAGAGATCTTGTCCGTTTTGCTCTATGTTGTATCTCAAACACTTAGAACAGTACCTGGCATACAATAGGTATAGTGATGTGCCTCATAACGATGTTTTGGTCATATATGCTGGACTGCATATATCATGTGGTCCATAAGATTCTAATGGAGCTGAAAAATTCTTATCACTTAGTGACATAGCACAGAACATTACTTATGTGTTTGTAGTGATGCTGGTCTAAGCAAACCTACTACGCTGCCAGTCAAATAAAAGTATGGCACACACCCTGGCTGGTTTTGCTCAGCGGTTAGAGCGTCGGCCTGCGGACCAAAGAGTCACGGGTTTGATTCTGGTCAGGGGCACATACTGCAGTTGTAGTTTGGTCCCCGGCCCTGGTTGGGGTTGTGTGGGAGGCAACCAATCCATGTGTCTCTCTCACACTGATGTCTCTCTTTCTCTCCCTCTCACTCTGTCTGAAAATAAATGGAAAAGTATCCTCGGGTGAGGATTGAAAAAAAAATTATAGCACATACAATTATGTACAGTACTTAATACTTGATAATAAATGACTAGGTTACTGGTTTATGTATTTACTATACTATACTTTTTTATTATTTTAGAGTGTACTCTTTCTATGTATAAAAAAAATTTACTGTAAAACAGTATGCCATGTTATGCCAGCAGCAACCTCATATATCTTGTGTTTACTGGGTCTCTTGATTGCAATATATTCTCTTGTGCTTGACTTAACCTTGTGTTGATTTGTACAGTAGCATGCTGTACAGGCTTGTGGCCTAGGAGCAACAGGCTATACCATCTAGCCCAGGCGTGTAGTAGGCTAGACCATCTAGGTTTGTGTAAGTGCACTCTGATGTTCCTACATCGACGAAATCGCCTGATGACACATCTTAGAATGTATCCCTGTGATTAAGTGGCAAATTACTGTACTCAATTCATGTTTGCTTAGTAAAATAATTAGTTAATTCTTCCTTCTGGGTAATTTACATATTAACAGAAGATCCTGGAAAAACTAAGGCTGGAAGGAACTAGTTTCTGGAATTCCAGGTACCATATCAAAGAGAGAATGGAGCCCTGGCCAGTTTGGCTCAGTGGCTAGAGCATCGGCCTGCAGACCAAAGGTGTCGGGTTCAATTCCTGGTCAAGGGCACGTACCTGGGTTGCAGGTTTGATCCCTAGCCCTAGTCAGGGTTGTATAGGAGGCAACCAATCAATGTGTCTCTTTCACATCAATTTTTTTTTTCTCTTTTCCTCCCTCTCTTCCACTCTATCTAAAAAATCAATGGAAAACCATCTTCAGGTAAGGATTAACAAAGAGAGAATGGAGAGGCAAAGAATACATTAATATCAACATCCCACCCTCTCTCCCACTCTGGCTTGCCCAAATTTTACCAGCCCCACCGTATCTGGGCCCAGGGATGTTAGGAGTTCTGAGTCACATGAATAAACACCTGCTCAAACCTCTTCAGCCTTTCTGCTCCTTTGGTAAATCAAAATAAAACTAAAATGCCCCCACAAACACCCCCTACCCTTCCACCTCCATCCCCCACACAAAATAAGCCTTACCAGTTAGACTTTGGAAGACTTGCCAATCTTCCTCTGCATCCTGTTGATCTTCTTGTTCCCAGCGTGCTTCTTGGTTGATGCTTGAAGAAGGCACCCACGGATACACCTGAAGCAGCAGTGAGAGCTCCTTCAGGACATCGTTCAGCCTTCTGTTTACGTCTTTAAAGAGTCTTTTGTCCTTCCTTGATGTTAGAATCTTATGGACATAGGATTTATTGCTAAAGTCATCCACCTGCTTCTTAGCTTCCTTTAGGACAGCCTGGAAGGTGCTCAGGGCAGTGGTCATCTCAGTGGACAGGTTCCTCTCTCCTTGGGCCTGAAGCCTTTGCAGAGGCTGCAGCAGGCCTTGGATGCGGCTCCTTAGACGCTGGCACTGTTTCTTGCAGTCTTGCATCGTTTCGCATTGTTTGTACACACACGTGCCTAAGGAGATGATGTCCTTCAGTATATCCATACCTGGAAGAAACTGATGGAATTTGTTAACATCCCAAAATCTCCTGCATATTTACTACTGGGCTAAGGAAACCTCAAGGGTGCCTGTGATTTAAATGGCTGAGGATGTCTTCCCACAATTTCATGTAAGGTAGAGATGGCTTGCTGTCCACCAAAATCTGTTCTGCCTTCCATAAATACAGACTTGTGGCTGGGAAGTGTCGGCCCACCTAGGACTATATTTCCCAGCCTTCTTTGAAGCTTGATGTGGCCATGTACCTAGGTCTCACCAATGGGGTGTGAGTGGATATGATATGTTCTATTTTGGGCTGAGGCAGGTTTGTCTCCTCTACATACTATCAGCTGGATGATCTACAGGTGATGAAGCCCCAAGAAGGAAGGTGGAGTCTCAAAAGGAAGAATCCTGGATCCCTGAATCATCACTTGGAGGAGGGTTGCTCACTTGGATCATTTGCCATGGACTGTTAAGTGAACGAGGAATAAACTTCTATTGAATTTGAGCCAGTATATTTTGGGGTCTATTCATTACATCAGTTTAGCCTATTCTATCAAATATATCCTGCCAAAGTATATGGGTGAATATAGGATGGTGGGTGGGAAAGCTCAGGTCCTGCCTAAAGAAGGTAAGGGTTACCCGACGAGAATAAAGTGTCCAGTGATGGAAGATCTTCCAATTTTGAAAGAGCAGTCAGAAATCTGGATTTTTTTGTGTTGTTGTTGTTGTTTATCCTCTCCTGAGCATATTTTTTCATTGATTTTTAGATACACTGGGAGGGAGGGAGAGAGAGAGAAACGTTGATTAGTTGCCTCCTGCACGCACCCCAACTGGGGCTGGGATCGAACCTGCAATTCAGATACATGCCCTTGACTGGGAATTGAATCCATGACCCTTTGGTATGAGAGCTGGCACTATAACTACTGAGCCACACTGGCCAGGGCAGAAATCTGGATTTTTATGACAAATCTCTGTATTTAAAATCTTGCAACCAACCCTGGTTGGGTAGCTCAGTTGGTTAGAGCATCATCCTGATATATCAAGGTTGCAGGTTTGATCACTGGTCAGGGCACATACAAGAAGCAACCAATGAATGCATAAATAAGTGGAACAACAAATCAATGTTTCTCTCTTTCTCTCTTACTCTCTCTCTGTCCTTGTCTCTCTCTTTCTCTCTCTCCAATCAGTTAAACAAAATAAATAAAATCTTTCAACCAAGTAAAAAATGTTTTACAAACTGTGCATTCCAACACTGTGTGGGTTAAATAAAACATGTCTGCCAGCTGGATATTGCCCATGAAGCCACAATTTGCAACCTAGGCCACAGTTTGCCAAGGATATCCAGGATTGTGATAGAAGTTGGCATCTGTCGATCTCAGCTTTTCCTTTCTATTTCTTTTCCCAATGCTTGAGCATCCCTAGCTCCTTAGTGCTCGCCCCCAGCCCTCTCGTTGTACTTTTAGCAAGTTGTAAATTTGTTATAGCCTACCCATTGGTCTATGCATCAGTAAGACTTCATGATATAAGTGCTGTCCCTGTCAGAGGCATTTGCACTAAAGACTTGGGGATTTTCCAGGGCTGGAGGAATTGTGGTGGACATCTGTGTTGCCTTCACAACACCCATTTCCCTACTTCCTATTACTGCCCAGATTTTAAGTGGCTATCTGCTTCTCCCCCATTCAGCAATGAGTTTATAGGGAGCTGGCCCCACCCCTGGTTCTAGGGATAAAATTTGATGTATCCAAGCTAGTGGTTCTCAACTGAAAATAATTTTGCCCTCCACGAGATTTCTGACCATGTGTGAAGACATTTTTGATTGCCACAACTGGGGGATGGGTACTATTTACCTCTAGTAGGTAGATGTCGAGGTGCTACAATGCATAGGACAGCCCTTCCACAACAAAGGATTATCTAGCCCAAAATGTCAAAAGTGTTGGGGTTGAGAAAATTTGGTCTAAGCCATCAGACAATTCTTAAGAGCTTATCACAGTGATAGATTCAAAACTGGGCACCTGGGCTAACCTGAGTGGAGGGAAATGTTTGCTGGGGAGATTCCTGGATCCCCTAAGACAGCCCAGGAAGCCAGCTTCTAACTCTTTTTTTTTTTTTTTTATTAATCCTCACCCGAGGACATTTTTCCATTTTTTGTTCAGCTAGAGTGGGAGCGAAGGAGGGAGGGAGGGACAGAGAGAGAGAGAAACATTGACGTGAAAGGGACACACTGAGTGGTTGCGACCCGCACAACCCAACCAGGGCCGAGGACAAACCGCAACCAAGGTACATGCCCTTAGTGGGAACCAAACCCAGATCTCTGGACCACAGTTCAATGCTCTAACCACTGAGCAAAACTGGCCAGGGCAGCTTCTAACTCTCTCTTTGTCTCTCTCTTTAATCTGAATATAAGTGTGTGAGTGAGAAAGCATGGAGCCCCAACCCTAAAGCCTCAGGATGAGGCAACCTATAAATGACAGAATGCAAAGAAAAGGAAAGAACCTGAGTCCTCGATGACAACACTGAGCCAATGGTTTGAACTGACCCTGCAGTCTACCCCATTTCTCAATTATGTGTTTCATGAACCAATAACTTTTCTTATTATTTAAGCCAGTTTGAATCATGTTTGCTGTACTTGTAACTAGAGGCAACAGGGTTCAGTAATGAATTATGATAATAACGATGATCACAAATCTCTCTATTACTAACTATATGCTAAGTGCTTTGGAACCAGGAGTTCACTGTTTTATAGATAGAGATACTGAGGCTCAGGGAAGTTGCATTTTAAAAAGTACAAAACCATTGAAATAGTTTTCAAAGTACTTTTAAACAGAGTTCATCTCAACAGCTCAATGAAATAGGTGGGACACCCATTATCACCATTTTACAGATCAGGTTTTGTAAAAAGACTCAAAGGATCTCACACTACCCAGTTATTGCCAGTTGCTAAGCAGAGGCCTTCAAGACCATTTCCTGGGACCCATGAGAACAATGGGCTTTACACTTTTCTCTGGTCCACTGGAAGCAGAAGCAGATGTGAAAGTGTTGCTCAAGGAATCTTGCGGATTTCAACTTCATAGCTTCAAGTTCCAGTTATCTTATTATCAGCTTCATCAAAAAGCTACATCTCGCCCTGGCTAGTTTGGCTCAGCGGCTAAAGCATTGGGCCACAGACCAGAGAGTCCAGGGTTCTGTTCCTGCTAAGGGCACGTATCTCGGTTGCAATTTGTCCCCGGCCCCAGTTGGGGTTGTGTGGGTAGCAGCCAGTAGATGTGTCCCTCTCACATCGATGTCTCTCTCTCTCTCTCTCTTTCTCCCTCTCTCCCTCCTGCTCTATCTCAAGATAAATGCAAAAATGTCCTCGGGTGAAGATAAAAAAAAAACAAAAAACATTTCACAGGAGAAGTGATGACATGGTATGAAGAAAAGCACACAAAACAAAGCTTGAAGAAATGAAGAGAACTGTTATATTTCTGGCTGTGAAGATTTAAAATGACAAACCTGATAATCCTCAAATTTAAACCCAATTTAATGCAAATCCAATAAAACTCCCAATGGTATATTTTGGTATTGAAACTAAATGATCCTAAAGTTAATATCAAAGAGGAAATTAGTAGGGATGACCAGATTTTTAAAAATAAATAAATAAAAGGACTTACTAATAAGATGAACATACATTAAAATTGTAATAACTGAAATTGCTTAGGGTTTATGTATATATTAACTCAACAATGTGAATTTCTAGGAAATTATGCATAGAAAAGCTTATATGTGCATAGATAGATGGATACTAAAGCTGCCAACAAGGAAGGAAAAAGTTTACAATTTTTAAAAGTGAAAAATCTTTAAATGGTACTAGCAATATAAATGCATAAATGATCTAATGCAATTTCCTCTTCTCCTTAAAAAAAAAAAAAGTCAAGCATATCAGGTATCCTTTTCTGATGAGACATATTCTTTCTCCTTGTGCCTAAATTGGACCCCAGAAAAGGAAGAGGGCATTACCATTAAGTACTGGAATAGTCTACTTCGGCAATTTACCCCACACACAACCGGAGTTCGTCTGTCTAGGGTTTCTTGAACAGCTTTTCAGAGCAGGTTCCGAGGCCCCTCCGACCCCACCCCACGCCCACTCCACGTCTTTGGCAGAAGGCAGGCCGAGACCTGGGCAGGCAGCTCTACTCTCAGAGCCCAGGAAGCAGAAACGAAACCAACTCTGTCCTGAGTTCCACGAAATCGAACAATGGGTCACCTCACCTCACTTCCCTTACTCCCCCATCTCCCCTTCCAGCCCAGGGATCTGACTGCGGCCCCTCTGCGCCACAGACCGTGCCCAGAGAGGACCCCAGACTCACCCTCGTCCCGCTGCAGGCGTCCCGCCTGTCCCGTGCACAGTCCCCGGAAGCCCACTCCGCTGATCAGAGCCTGCCTCACGGCCAGGGGAGCAGTCTGTGGATGAGAGCCGCCCCCCCCCCCGCCCCGAACTTACTTGGCGACCGGAGTCCCTGGGCTTCCTTCCGTCTGGTGGCCCACACTCTGCACTCCCACGTGGGACTCGACAGGACTACAGCTGCGAAGGGACTGCTGTTTCCTTCCGAAGTAAAACCCGGGTCGGGGCTGTGCCCGAACCGTCCCCCAATCAGCTTGTTGGAGGGCTGTCCGGTCCTGCGTCTTCCAGGCGCCGCCCCAGGGCTGGCTTGCCTGGGAGCCTTTCACTTGGTTCTTGTCACCAATGGCTCAGATGCCCTGGATCCCTAGGCAGTTCAGAGCAAAGTTTCCTTTCCTCCTCCTGGTATTCTCTTCCTGCCCTTCCCACACCCTCCAGGCCTTCCCGCATTTACTCAGCAACTATTTATAGAGTACAGTAAGTCCTCACTTAACAGCTCCCTATAGGTTCTTGGAAACTGTCTTTACCGGAAACCACTGTATAAGGAAACTGATTTTTACCACTGGCTGGATAATATAAACAAGAGTTAAGTCTCTACAGCATATTTCTGGTCACGAAAACATCACCAAACTTCTAAATAAACACCCAAACATTTCTAGCATTAAACATTGGAATAAATGTGAACTCTACATATATATGAAAGATTAATAAAAACAAATGGAATCATTATTTTCCAACCTGCTTATTCCAGTTCAAGGTGGGGTGGCTGGAGCCTTTCCCCAAATCTCAGGGCACAAAGGTAGGACCCACCTGGACAGGATGCCCAGGATGATCTTTCATCGCAGGGCGCACTCACACACACACCACACTCACTCAAACTGGGACAATGTAAACACACCAATTCACCTCACCTGCACATCTCTGGGATGTGGTGTGGAGGGCGGCTGAGCCAAGGTCTCTTGTTGATCTTGTGGTGTTTGCAAAGTTCTCCCAGGAACAAGCCCCTGTGGTGTTTGCCCCTCCTCAGATCTGGTTCGACTAGCAAAGCAGTTTGCAGTTCGAGGCATAGTGGTGCCGGACCAGGGACATGAGCACAGAGGAACTTGAAGCGGAGGCCAGGAGACACTCCTCCAGTGTGCACGTTGAGAAATGAAAATAAGGTAGGGGAGCACAATTCACTGATAGCCAGGTGTAATATATGGGGAATTCTGTGTCACAAGAAAGAAATCTCTATGTGTCCATGTTAAGGGCTATAATTAAGGCTCGAGGATGCTCAATAAAAAAAATATATATCAGCTCCTCGAGTTTTTATTTTTATTTTATTTACTTATTTTTTTATCCTCACCCGAAGACATTTTTTTTTCCATTTTTTGTTCAGATAGAGTGGGAGGGAGGGAGAGAGAGAGAAACATCGTGGCTGCTACCCGCAGGACCAACCAGGGCCAGGGATAAACTGCAACGGAGGTATGGGCCCTTAAGGGAACCGAACCCGGGTCTCTCTGGACGGCAGGCCAATGCTCTAACTGTTGAGCCAAACCAGCCAGGGCAACTCCTTGAGTTTTTAGAGTGTGTGAATGAAACTTGCCATTGGTTTCCTGATGAGGGGACAGTCAACTTGGAAACCTGGGAAAAGGCAGGGAAGTGCCTGCGAGGCAGATACACAACAAAAGGCCCGAACAAAGTTCTGGTGCAAACATTTACTCTTTGGTCCCTAATTAGAGATTGCCTTGATCCTATGCAGGAGTCTAATATGGCAGGGGGCAGGGTATAGTAAAAGACTTGATGAATGCTGAGAAAGGCTATGGGTCCTTAAAGACTCCCCCACCACCTTCTGCTCCTCCACCTGCAGTTGTGGGAGAGGTCAATCCCCCTGATGAGACTTTACCCCCCAGAGTATGAGAGAGAGCTAGAAAGAGAGGCGGAGCAAGATCCGCGGCACTGCACCCAGGAAGATTCAGATGAGGAGTCTAATTTTACCTAAAATTTTGCAGAATTGGCTCTTACCCTTTGACCATCCCGAGGGGATACAGGGGCTTGGCCTAAAAAACCTCTAGTGCCCCTGTGTTCTCTCCCTTACAGATGGGTCTAAGAAAGACAAGACAGATTCTGTTGATATTTCTAAGTTTCCCACACACTATTCTGTCTCATGCCCTAAGTATACATTAACCAACTGTGTAACAAGAAATAATAAGTATGATGATGTTTTAATTCTATATCAGCCCTCTTTTGTTATGCTCCCTACCAACATATCAGGAGATTGGTATCATGAAACTAGGCTATAAGCTTTAATTGAGATTAAAAACCAATTGACTAGCCATAAAAAAAAGTTAGGATTGATTATTTTTGGCATTATCACTATTGTGAGTCTTATTGTTTATACTGTAACTGCTTCATTAGCCCTGACTCAAAGTATACATAATGCTCAATTTGTGAATGATTTAATTCAAAATACCTCTGCTGCTTTGCAAAATCAAAAAAATATTAACACCAAATTAGAAGCATAATTAAATGTTTTGGAAGCCGCAGTTATCGGGCTAGGAAATCAAGTTGAGAGCATTAAAGCTCGACAGAAATTGCTTTGCCATGTGGCTTACAGTTTTATCTGTGTTACTTCAGTCCCATATAATAAAACCCAGCGGGCCCTGGCTGGTTTGGCTCAGTGGTTGGAGTGTCGGCCTGCAGTTCAGAGAGACCCGGGTTCGGTTCCCGCTAAGGGCACATGCCCCAGTTGCAGTTTGTCCCCGGCCCTGGTTGGTCATGCGGGTGGCAGCCACTCGATGTATCCCTTTCACGTCGATGTTTCTCTCTCTCTCTCTTTCTCTTTCTCCCTCCCACGCTACCTGAACAAAAAATGGAAAAATATCCTCAGGTGAGGATAAAAAAATAAAATAAAAATAAAACCCAGTGGAACCGAGACAAAGTTAAGTTATACCTCCAGGGAATATGGACTCATAATAATATCAGTCTTGATTTACAGCAACTGCATAGACATATACAAAATATCCAAAATAGCCATGATGATATTATTAATCAAACACAACTGGCTAAAGAAATTTTAGATGAGCTTAAGAATTTCAACCCTTTTAATCTTCTTAAACATACTGCTTGGTACTTGTTTGGATTTGTTATTGCTCTAATAATACTGTTTTTGTCTCCTGTCAGTCAGCTGCCGGATCTTTCAAACCCAACTCAGAGGAGTCCAAGTAGATGTTCACTGCATGCATTTAAAGACAGAAAAGGGGAAGATTTAAAAACAAAAAAAGGGGAAGATTTTAAAAATAAAAATGGGGAAGATGTGGAGGGCAGCTGAGCCAAGGTCTCTTGTCGATTCTGTGGTGTTTGCAAAGCGCGTCCAGGAACAAGACCCTGTGGTGCCTGCAAAGCTCACCCAGGAAGAAGACCCTGTGGTGTTTGCAGATCTCACCCAGGAACAAGACCCTGTGGGGCCTGCAAAGCTCACCCAGGAACAAGACCCTGTGGTGCCTGCAAGGCTCACCCAGGAACAAGACCCTGTGGGGCCTGCAAGGCTCACCCAGGAACAAGACCCTGTGGGGCCTGCAAGGCTCACCCAGGAACAAGACCCTGTGGTGCCTGCAAGGTTCACTTAGGAACAAGACCCTGTGGTGTTTGCAAGGTTCACTTAGGAACAAGACCCTGTGGTGCCTGCAAGGCTCACCCAGGAACAAGACCCTGTGGTGCCTGCAAAGCTCACCCAGGAACAAGACCCTGCGGGGCCTGCAAAGCTCACCCAGGAACAAGACCCTGTGGTGCCTGCAAAGCTCACCCAGGAACAAGACCCTGTGGGGCCTGCAAAGCTCACCCAGGAACAAGACCCTGTGGGGCCTGCAAAGCTCACCCAGGAACAAGACCCTGCGGGGCCTGCAAAGCTCACCCAGGAACAAGACCCTGTGGTGCCTGCAAAGCTCATCCAGGAACAAGACCCTGTGGTGCCTGCAAAGCTCACCCAGGAACAAGACACTGTGGTGCCTGCAAAGCTCACTCAGGAACAAGACCCTGTGGTGCCTGCAAAGCTCACCCAGGAACAAGACCCTGTGGTGTCTGCAAGGCTCACGCAGGAGCATTCTGCCCAAGGCCTCTTCTTGATCCTGTGTGCTGGCAAGGCCCACGCAAGAGCATTCTGAGCGCTGGGCAAGAATGTATAGACAGTCTCAACCTTGAATTCAGAGGCTGGTGGAAACATTTGGTGTTTGAACTTCCCCCCTTCATTATTGCTATATAATAAACATGCTGAGCTAGCTCAGGGTCACTGTTTCTCCATCAGACAGCAGTGTCCCACCTGACGCCAGCTTTCCTCTCTACAATGTCTCTGTCTTTCTTGATCTCCCGTCACCCCTCCTCAGGTCTGGTTCAACTAGCCATGCAGGTCGCAGCAATGTGGTAGGAAACTGGAGTCCCTAGAGAAAACCCGTCCAAACTCCACACAGTGACCCTGGCTGCGAAGCGTTTTTCCCCCCCGATTATATCAATGTTATAAAAAAAAAAAAAACCACATTGAACACATCTATGTTATTTAAGGATCTGCTGTACTCACTGGTGTCAGGCCCTCTGCTTGGGGCTGGGGAATCAGAAAAGAATATAATGTCCTAGAGAGGTACTATAACCAGGACACAAAATGGGAAGGATTTGATGAGCAAAGCACCATGTGAGTCAGAGGGAAAGTTCTTGTGTCTGCTTCTCTGTGCTTGAGAATATTGGGAGGCTTGGGTGGGGGGAGTGAGGGAATAGATACACCTAAATGGGAAAAAAATTACCTCCTCCTCTAATGTCATTGCAATGAGTTCTGTTATATTGTGAGACATGCTGTGTCCCCAGCTAGAAAGTCTAAGTGATCTCATTCATTTACTCATCTGACTATTTTCCTATGAAAGGACAGAATTGGATTGTATTAAAATACTTTTTGGATTCGGAAGCCAG